CACAACCACCGTCATTGCCTCAAACACTCCCCGTATAGACACGTCAAATACCGCCGTAAATAAATCATTTCCCGTTGGAAAGTGCTCTTGTACGCATATTACCGTCCTGGATTTCCTAACACATTCAGTTGAGTATAAGTACACGTACGCGTACACGAACATGCGCGTGCAGGCACGGTGTAAGGTTGATAACGAAAATATCGTCGTAAAAACAATAGTAATAAATACGGCTATTATGTGATATGATACCGCTTTGTTATACAAATCAGAGGCTTATTTAGACTTACTTCTAGGGGGGGGGAGAGCAACTCAAATTTTTTCTTCAATTCAGGCTCATAATTTACAAGTTAAATTTTTGGTAATATTTAAATCAGGTGAATTCTTAATAATATGTGATTTTTTTTTTAATCTAATACTGGATCCACTTAGAATCGACTTTTGTGCAGTTCTTTTTTAACACCTGTCTATGTTTTTAAAGTTACGGTTGTGTTTTATTTGATTTTTCACTAAGTATGGACCCGACAAAAAGTCCAAATCAGTATTCACAGCAACGTGTAATTTTATTTCGTTATAAAATTGTGCATGCATATCATATCGTCCAGCGAGAAAAAAGTTTTATACCTGTTATTTAAATTTATATTTTCGCAACTCGATTGGAAATCCGACGACATCTACTACATCGAACGTTTATCGGCCAAGTGCAAACGATTTTACGGCCTACGGTTTTTTTTCTCCGTATTCTACTCGGTACCATCGTTAAACGCTGCGATGCCTCTCTTTTAATAATGTCCATAAAAAAGACCTTGTACACTGTTTATTCTCGGTTTTTATCTATGCACTCAGATGTGTTGTAACAACTGCAGTACGACCTTATTCGAGTTATTTTTTCGTTTGTTTTGCGCCGAAAAAGTCAGTGTCGGAAAGGGAAAAATGACGGTATTCGTTTAACATGATCCAATGAGCGAGAGTCGTTTTGAGCGCAAACACACTCACGTACTTGCGCTGTTACGGTTTTTACCATTGCGTAAGCCGCGCGCAATTCACTTGCGGTTCACGGAACACAATAATTTCGAGCGATTCGGTTCACGGACTTTCTCACAAGGGAGGCGCACGTGAGAAATGTATTCCTCCGGTGGGGTGAGGTGTTTTTTTCAATATCATCAGTTTAATTATCATACCGCAGCCGAGTATTTTATCGTATTCCGAATTGTTTTGGACGCCGTACGAAACTCTCGTGAACGTCATGCATTATGTAATATTTTAATCGTTGTTCGTCGTGTACTCAACAAAATTATTTCTCGGCCAGTGGGATCTGCGATATTTACTATTCGATAAATCGTCCGAGAGCATTTTTCATTACTTATTGATAGCTTATCCGTAACTATTCGTATAACGTATTTCTACAAAAAACTAAACACAAGTGCAAAACTTATATTATACAACGACCAACAACTATTTAGAGTTTCGATTTTGGACAATATTTTGTAACCGCTCATCGCATGTTTAATATTGTAACGTGGTCGCAGTATGAATTATGACGTTATAACAACTCTCGACGTTTAAACTCTTACTAAATATACTAAGTAAACCGTTCATGGAGTCAATGATTTCGTGTTCTATAATAATAATTATTTTCAACAAATAATAATCATTAAAACGTAGAAACTTTATTTTGCAAATATAATATTCATCTTTCTTTCTTGATTCCTGTTTGGGCATAATGCGAAGGTTGACCAATACTATAACGTCTATAATCATGGTCAACGAAACAAGATTTTTTTCCATAAATAGAATCATATTGTGTAATAATTTGAATACGTATTTTAATTTGTAATTTTCAATGAACAACGATTTTGACCACTCATTCGTTATTTTGAAGTCAATATAAATGTATATAATGTACTCATTTTTAACAAATGGCGGGTGATGAGATATAACAATTAAAAACATACTTTCTATTACGTCTAATATTAATCAATGAAACTGTATGCCATATTTGGAAAAATAATAGAGAATAATTTTTAATGTCTTATTTTCATTAGATTATATTTAGATAAACTTCTATGTAGAGCAGTTTTTTCTTAAATGTATTCTCACAAAAGTAAATATAATTTGTCAGTTATGAAATTACTCGACGAAAAGAGCTTGTCGAAATGCACAATACTTTTCAAACAAATCCTTCTTGATGATAAATATTTAAAATTGACAACGGCGGTGTATTACATTATATTTTAATATACATGTATACGAAAGTGTTTACGAAATAATAAAACGTTAACATTTATACGGCGGCGCGTAGGTATACGTAAACTAATAGATATTTACATTCGAACCACTTGGCATTATTCGTTTTGATCCGTTTATTTTCCCACCGACGAGACGCATTTGGTTCTGTATAATATTGTATCTCAAGTGTACAGGCACGCGGACTCGGTCTAATAGATAGTTAGTGACTTTGAACATTACAATCGTAACAGCTATTAAAGACATGTGTAGAATGGATTGTGACCATATCGGCTGCGAAATAAAAACACACATGTGACCGGATATGGAGCAACAAGGTCTCCACGATTGTATACAAAACGCATTTACGAAGCGTCATATAATGTCATATGATATTCATTGTAAATGATTATAGTACTATAATCATGTACTAGGACTGTGACTTGTAACCACATTATTCGGATAAACACTTGTACAGTCCTGCGCGCATATTGTACAATTACTATATTATTATCAGTCCAACACTGAGTCATCGTTAGCGTGTCGATACACTATCATCAATCGTTGAGTACGCATATGAAAACCGTAACAATTAAATCTGCATTGAAAAAAACTAGTTAATTATAATCACACGCACATGAAAATATCATATTATAATATTTCGATCGTTACATATTTTCTGGTGGGGATCGTGGTCGTATCTTTCGTATATAAATTATCGTTTTAATTAGAACATTTTTTTTCTTTTTTTTTTTTTATCGATTCACACATACACATCGGCTCATTTAAATAATAATATATTAACCTCTGAACAATAATAATATACACATGATAGTATTAGGAAACAATAAAAACATCAAGAAATAATATTAGTAATAATAATAATAATAATATTACCAAACAAACATTATAAATACTCAATTCGAGGGTTCGATTCGTGTAAAATCTCAAAACACTTTTACCGCAACATCGTAATGTATAATACACTATTACGTATACTTGCGTACGGAATAATCTTCGACACTTATCGTCAATACGACTCAAATTTCATTTTAATATACCACTGTTTTGATTTTTACATATGAACTTACACAAACATATAAACGGAAAGTTTTCTAATGATTTTTATATTGTCACGAAATGTACACAATACGTCGTGTTAACGTAGTAGCGTTGACGAGTGTTACAAATGAGAACTTCAAAATGAATAAGTATCTTATATAATAATACGGTGAGAACGATAGTATATAAACATAGAAAATTATTAGAAATTATAATACTTATATTTATATTTTGTACAGATTTTAAACAAATATTTAGATGAACGAATACGACCAGATTTTTTCTTTTTATTTTAGTCATTTATTTTACTATTTTTTTTTCTCACCATTTCTACTCTTGACATACGTACACACGCGTTTGGTTTAGTGAACCAATATACAAGACCAGCACTTAAGTGAATCACCAGACAAACGTGATTTTGTAGTCTATAGTAAAAACAATAATAATGGACTTAATTAAAACCCGCGTTAAGAATAACGAGAAAAAATTAATCGTCGCACATATATACATATAATAAGAAATGAAAAAAAAAAACCTTGTAAATGCGCTCATTCACGTGTGGACGACCACCCACCGGCGGCGTCAAAACCACATAACTCACTTAAAGTGTTATCGTTAATTAACGTACATAAATCTCGTTTCATTGAAAACAGAATAATTGTACAACTATTCCTAAATTGTTTCTTCGGGCCAAAAAGTGAAAAGAAAATAGAAAAATGTAAATTAATATTCATCACTGATCTTCTGAATTGGTCTTTCCGAGGTGCGATAGACCAACGCGATGGTATATTATAAATACATACTAACATTTTGCTACGTCGTCGCGTCATTTGTGTTGAAAAAAAAATAAAAGGGATTTAATATTCCACATTACAATATTATGTTATCTCGTAGATCGTATACACATGCGAAAATGAATTTTAACGTCATTTCGTAATACACTAAAAAGTTATAGTAATAGTAATAATAAAACATGCTCATTCGTTTCTTGCATATATTTATCGATGGCATTATGTACTTATACAAAACTGGTTACAACAGCGTTGGCCGGTTGGAAAAAAATGGTAGTTGTGTCTCGCCTGGTAAGGAAAGAGTGGGTAATAAAACATAATTTATAACATTTCGAGAAAACATTAAAATGTATTTATTACTGTTTAGATTTTCCTATTAATCTCGAACTTTTAGTTATACATCGAAAAACATTCATACATAATTTAACAAAAGAAAAAAATCTAAACAATTTTGTTAGTATCGGCTAATTTAGAATAATACATAATTTTTTAATAAAATATACGTGTTTAAATGATGATAGAAAGGATGATGATCAAATCGCACAACTATAATACGCATCCTATATATATATATACGTAAATAAATATTGCATAACATTAGACATTCCGATCCGTAATAATATATAAATCGTTATAATTTACGCGTCATCTATACATAATATTATATTGTCCATAATAAGAACGTATTTTAAGGCGAATAAGCCGTAGCACAGTCAGCGATATATACATAATACACAAAATACGCTATATATTTTACTATAATATTATACTATACACACGCTTATCTAAAAAAAAAAATGTTTACAAATAATCGTAACACTAATTAAGGTCGGATTTTAGCACCATTCGTTCGTGGAGAAATCCTCGAGTCCGTTTCCGTTGAAAATTAATAAAACAATTATTTACGTAACACACATACATACATAGATATTGTTTGGGAGTGCATCGCGAACGTCTGATATTTTTAAATGCATTATTTATTCACGGGAAAATACATTTTCGTGATGCATTCTGTACACAAGTACATAGCATATATATATGTATGTGTGTATAGTGGTGTCTATACACATATAACATTCGAAAAACATAAAACGCGCTCTTTACGATAAAAACAATAATAACAATAACATTAACGAAAGAATAATCGTCTCGGGCGTTAATATTATCACAGCTAGTGCAGTTCTTACCTATGTGAAGAACGCGACGGTGTATAATATCATATAAATCAAGCTATTATTATTATTGCTATTCCGGTAATATACATAAATAGACCCTGTGTGGTTCAGCTACAACAACATTATATTATGATAACAATAATAACAGTAAACGTAATAAGTAAATCACACGAATTATCGCGTCGTGACAACGACGACTTAATGATGATGATGATGACGATGACACGATGATGCATAGTCAATAAATCTAATAAATAACAATCCGTGTCCTGGCGCGTAGGCATGGAGTGCGGAAAAGTATTTGGAGGGACCGTTGCATCGGAACAGCGTTCAGGACCTTTGCACGGGCGCCGGTATCCTGGTGACGATCGGCGAGTCGGGTTTCGAGTCCTTCCGCGGACTGGGCGCCATCACGGCGTACCGGTTAATGATGTCGGCCACCTGTTGGCAAAACGTGTCGGCTGACACCTGCAGTCTCTGTTTGGACGTCGAGTGCCGGCCACCGGTCGCATTCCACGTGTTGTTCCGGCCCAACGCCGTGGCCGGTGACGAAGGCGACGACCACGACGGTTGGCTTGCACCGCCGCCACTGCCGTCCACGGACGGCGACCGACGGCTCATCCGCGGCGTGGGCGTTTGCGATCGACTGACCATCGTGAACGGCGGAGGCTGTTGCTGTTGTCTGGACGACTGCGTGGTGGAACGATTCCGGCGGAACGGTGACTGTTGCGGGCTGGGCGTATCCTTGCCGCCGGCCGATCGGCTTCGAGGAGGCCGCGTGACCCGTGTAACCGGAGGTGTGCCTGCAACAGCGAAAAAAACGAAAAAAAATTACGTAAAATATGTAAACTAAACGCGACACAGCGTTTATACCTATATAAAACAAAAGTTCACTGTTGCGTAACAGCAGTACATAGGGATAGTGAGTATTATAATAAACATATATACGTGCGACCTCTCGACATCGTCTCTCAGTCGAATGGACTTGGGAAATATGCTACTCTGGGATAGCTTCCAATTTCAGGAAATATTAAACGATACGAAAATATCTTTATAGTTATTATAAAATACCTAGGTTCCAAAAGTTTTATCAGACATCGTAATTTATTTTTTTAAACAAAGTTTTATCATCTCTTATAATGTGATAGCGTAACTTATCATCCCACTAAAAAAAATCCTAAATATATTATTGACGCACAGCATTTTTGAAAAGAATGGAGAGACGGAATTTTTTAGTAGAAAATAATTAGAGTGCTAAATATTGAATATTGCCTGATGTCACACATGTCAAGTCCGCTAATGCGTTTTCTCACATGAACATAAAAGAACTCTAGTCCTCTAACACCTTTTCTTCGCTAACGAATAACGAAATCCATTGCATACATGAACAACTCGTTCAGCCAAAAAGATTGTACCACCCACGATTACCGCATAGAACAATAGAGAATAATAATTGGTGACGAATATTATTGTTACGGCATTTCGGAAAACTAACTATTGGTGATGGATTTTACACGTCGTTTGCGAGAGCACCCATCATTTTGGAATCATTACTATACGTCCCCGTAGTGTTCAACATCCTTACCTAACTAATATTTTAAATAGACACCCACACATGAAATTGAGATTGATTTGTGAAACCTAAGCGGGACTGTCGACTGAATAGTCGTTTTGCTCACGACCTAAACAACACGCAACAGCCGGGATATATGGTATTATTGCAGTAGACTCTATGATTGTTAATTTATTTTTTTCCAACACAAAAATATTACAACTAATAAATACTTATTGATGCGCGCACGGAATAATAATATTTCAACGCGTCTCGCGGGATATGACGTGCGCGCGTACCTACGGCGTATGCACAATAATGGTATAATGTGACGTCGTCGTTCGCATATTATGTTTTGAAAACAGCGTAACGATTATTATTACGGAACATGTTCAATATTAATATCCATAGGCGTGTCCGTGGACATTGCATGCGTGTTTATGTATGTGTGTGTACATTTTTTTTTATTTCTCGCGATAATTTTTTAATTTTTTTCCCTTTTTTTCTAACCATCACCTACGGCTACTTATTTTTTTGGCCCTCTTTGTAAATTGCGTCGTTCTACGCGTCACCGACCGTGTTACGTGAACGCTATCAAAAGCATATTACATTCGAATAATATACATAATATAATATGCACCTCGTCGAAGTTGGGTGTGTAAACAACATTAACACCGAAGGGGATAAACTCCATCGCAACAAAAGTGTAATCCGTATATAACAATGTAATATATTTAAGATTATAGCATCAATAATGATAATAATAACCATATAATGTGCGACGGGTAATTTTGTTATTAATGCATACAAACGCATAGGTAAATGAACGCAGTGCGACGATAGTGCTCGGCTGGGGACTAAACTACAATTGTACTACTGTACGTTTTACAGGGAGAGGGATTTTTCGTCTTCCCCGTGCAGTAAAACTGATACAGAGGTACCTCCCGCAGAGCAGAGCATGGTCGGCGGTGGTGTTTGTAGGTATATTAATTACGGTCGATTTCAAACGATTAATAACACATGAAAGTGACGATTACGAAGACGCTCGTGCCATTATCTTACGACACCGCTTTCGAACATGCAAATATTTCCAATCATTTTTGTTACTAATTTTTTTACAACCCGTATTTATACGAGTTATTCCACCATTGTATGCACGTTTATATCATAGTTCATTAATTCCCCTTCTGCTCTATTGTTAATATTCAGTGAGTACAATTTTTTATATTTTCTAAAAAAAAATCACACATCGAACGATGATGATTATATTTTATTATTCAATCGCGTTGGTTCTTAAGTACAATTAAACTACTTTTCACTTTCGAAAACCATATAGGTTAGTAAATACATCGCTTCAGATGGTACTACGCTCTACAACATTATTACGTAAACAATATTTCGGGAGGTCAGTATGCCAGTCAAACAGATTATATTATACATAGTTTGAAAATCGCATAATAAGAACTTTAATCGAATTTGTCGTCTATAAATCTTCTGGTATTGGTAATATATTATAATACCACCATAATATGCAAACCCTATCTCAGAATAAAATACATACACGCTTGTATACCTGTATACCTAGTACAACTTTTCCCTTGGTGATTGGAGTGAAGTTATTCAACCCAATCAAATAAAACGTGTGGGCAACTTTGACGATTTAAAAAACAAAAATCTAAGTCCAAATCATTGCAGCGTATACATGGTTTTGGCGGGGGGTATCAAAATGTGGGCGGAATAACATTTGAAATGTGCATGGATTAAATTATCCGCTGGAGCATGTACGCATAGATACTCGGGATGATGAATAGGCCGGCCAACTGAAAACATGTTAAACCACGTATGGTTTCGACACAGTAGTCTCGATAGTGGGAAGGCGTTTGCATGACAGTTATATATTCTAGGGATTGGTCAACTAAATCTGGAGACAGCGTTCGAGACAAGAATATTTATGGACTCCTTGCAGTTTTGAAATTCAAGTTGGCAATAAAATCAGATTGCGTAAACTATTTAAATGCACGTATATATTATACATGTATATAACATATATGTAGTGTCAACGGTGATAAAGACGGTACAACTAATGTTAAAGAGAGAATGGTGGTCACCATGGTACATTTCTTCATCGACTTAATGTTAAATGTACCAGTAAGTAATGATAATTATATTACGTTAAGAAATCTCGGCAAGATGAAATAACATTATTTAGATAGGTAATTGCGATAATTTAGATGTTCCTAAGCTCCAATGTTACTCGTAAGAGAACTGATGTTTATTATTAGTTATGATTAACTATAACTCGTCAACACACATTTATGTAATCCATCCTACCTGATTTGATCCTTTGATTTTCGAGCAACTACAAGTTCTCACACAATATTACATTCATACATTCATAAACGTTAATCACAATAAAAAAAAAAAAAAAATACGATTAAAATCACGCGTAAGAGGTATCCAAATATTAGATAATTTGGCAATTTGAAAAGCATGCACAAGATACAAAAGAGTAGTCTACCAAAATGCAAAGCAATGTTTTACGTTTTGTTGATGCAAAAATTATCTACTAAAATCAAATCAATATACTTATTAATTAAACATTTCGACTATGACCCATCAGAATTATGTATCAGTATAATTTAAAATGTATTATAACGAGATTACCAATCGAGACAAAACACTTGTGGCTGGCTACGCGTAGGATGTTACCTGTAGCATAATATTACAAAACTAATTATTACAAATAATAATTAGTTCTTTGTGGTGGTCCTAGTCACAAGTAATTATAACATGTGTTACGTGAATAATTAACCATCATGATCGTTAAAAATAGAACTAATTTTATTTTGAAGTCTTAAAATACTTGGAAATTTAACGTTTATTTATTTAAAATAAATTCAAGAACATAGTTAAGATGAAAAACTAGTCACGTTGACCCCAATAAAAAGAAAAATCGACAAAACAACAATAATTTTACATGATTTTATTACGCAAAGATAATATTTAAGTACTCGAGTAATTTCTTCATGCTATAGAATCTATATTTTGTAAGAACTGATATTATTGATTAATAAAATTAAAAAAAAAAAATCTCTCAGAAATCTTATGTTTAGGTCAACGACACGAGACGTGGATATGAAGATATTAAAAAATAATTTTCTGCGACATACATCATGACAATGTCAATGTCAATGATAATAATGTAAGAAACTTAATGTATGCTAATGATATTCCAACCGGTGTTTATTAATGAATAATTGCCGTTAAACGTACGTATGTGTGAACTGCAATGATCGATAAATAAATTGTGCATATTTTTAATCGGATCGTAATTGATTTAGAAAATAAAACGATTTAAATTATACATTTAACTAGTGGGACGTATGGAAATTATATTACACAGTTTTATTGTTATGTGAGTACAACAAAAATGTTTTCCCGTTTACAGCGTAATTGCTTACCATTGGATTTCTGCGCACTTTTAGCGTTGGAGTTGACTGACGGTGGCGTAGTGACTACTCCCAAGCTCCTGTAACCCTCGTCCGACACTTCCGACCCACTGTCCGTACCGACCGTTTCCGATTTCCTAACGTCCCTTGAATGCGACTTCTTCCTGACCGACGGTGGACCGTCGTAAGCGGCGACCCTCAGGCTGTCCGAAACGCGACAGAACGGAGTGGTGTCCACTTCCGATTCTTCTTCCTTGACGGTCGAATGTCTCCTTTCGATGGCCGTCACGGGCATCGGATTGAGCACGTGATACTGCTCGGTGCCCAAAAAGTTGTCGGATACGCGGCACGTAGACGACGTGTCTACGGCCACGTCTCCGTCGACGCCATCTCCATCACCGTGCACGGACTCCGCTGTACCTGTTTTCTCCCATTGTTTGTCCACCGAAGACTCTTTGGACAGGCGGTCGCCGCCGTACTCGGCAGCCGGTTCCGAAGCGAAATTAAGCGATATCCTCGGCGTTGGCGTATCGTCCACGCCACGGCTGCTCTGGCGCGCAGCCGACAATGATCGGCTGCGGTTGTCCCGTTGCTGGGAGCCGTCGGGTACCGGCAGACGGTCGCAGTTGTCAACCAGCGCCGGTGACACGGACCGTTGCTTCCGTCGGCCGCTGGGCGTCACCGACCTGGACCGCGGCGAGCTCGCCGCTCTCTGCACGCTCAGTCGGTCCATGGCCCGTGGCGTCGGGCTCCTGCTCCGGCCGCGGCCCGAGTCGACGGGTGTGTTCAGCTTGTGGGCCGTGGACGTCAACCGCGGGGACGGCGACCGGCTCCGACGGCGACTGGCCCGTTTGGCCGTGGCCAGACCGCCGGACGTCAGATTCAAGCCACCAGAATATCCGCCGTTACCGCTGCTGCCCGTACTGGACGTAGACGAACGGCGCGTTCTCGGTGGCGATCTATATTCGGAGCACACAATATACACGTAATACAATAAAAGTTGTTGTCTCGACGAACTGGGTGTACAATTTTGAACAACATTGAGCCCGATATAAATGAAAATTATTGTTATAATAATGTATTCAATTGTTTTTATTCGGTAGTTGTTAGAAGAAGGCAACGGCCCTTAGTCAGCGTTCTGGTTATAGGGATGTGATTCGCTAACGGATTTAATGCGCTGTCGGTTTCAATAAAATAAAAAATAAAAAACCATAACTTCTGAACATCGTTCTACAGTTTATATTTTATAATTTGCTAGTTATCATACCTTCATTTTGTTAGTACACATATTTTTGTATTTGTTTTCAATTAACTATTTTAACTAAACTGTTTATTCAGTGGAAATATGAAAATAATAACTATTCGTCTCATGAACAAAAATATTTTTAAATACTTTCATAATGAAAATATGGTTTTTAGAATACTTGCTTTTCATATATTTTTACAAACGCAGAATGGTACATGCCTATTACTTATTACGAATAAAACACTACATGCAAATCTTACTATGTACTTAACTTAATGTACAAGCATACATAATATACAACGAAGTACTGACCTTTCATAGTGTACTTGGGCGTGCGATATTTCCAACATGGGCCCGCCGCTTCTGACACCTGTCAGTTTCGCAGACACCGGCGCTCGATGAGCTATTTTAGTAAAACGAATAAAAAATAAAAATAAAAATAGAAGCTAAAAACAATAAAACTACAAACGCATGACCAAACGAGCATAAGTACTACACTACAATAGCACAAGTGTCCAATGGACATTTTACGCAAAAATCATTTTCAACAAATGGTCTACACTAATACTTTATATTACTGTTAACCTTGTAAGAAACATTATTTTTCCCTGCCACCTATAACCTATTACACTAATACGTAGGCACATGAATACGGGCAAGATATAATAATGTATGGCTTACTACTATATATGTGTGAGTATGTAGTTTAGCAGACAATATATGTTTTTTCTTTTCCATTAAATCAATTTTTTTTTTTTGTTTTAGGCACAAAGTAGCTTACCAGTTTTACATCGGCATGGATCGTGTTTGTCTAAATAATGAGACAGTGTGTCCCAGCCTCCACCTACTCTAACCATAACGTGACTCCTCAGTATCTGTAAAAGTTATACATGAATGCACGTTGAATTAAATAATGTTATTTATCATCCAATAAATATAATTTGAAAAATTTTACTAGCTTACCCTGACAAATATCAAAACTTTGGTATCACCGATACGATATTTTCCTTCAGACACTCTGATCATTGGGAATTGAGTTGGACATTTGCACCTTTCCACAAGATCTCTTACCTAAAGAAAAAAAAGTTTAGCTATACATACATATGTATAAAATAAAATCGCAACATCAAAATAATAGGACTGCAGTGAGATTTTGTGGGCACGGTAACCACGCTGAACATATGATAGTAATTTGTATTTGGCACTTGAGCATATCATGTAATACGCGTATATTTCCCAGAAATCTAGTGTATGGTAAATCATTCGTATTAGAAAGTACACAAATTGAATCCACATAGTTAAATTTAATATCAGTATCCGAAATAATCAGAAAAAACATAGTGTACAAACCCAACTCTATAACTAATTTAGAATAACAAAATATGATTTTATATGAACGCATACATTTTTATCGAGTTTAATAAGAATTAATATTTTTTTATCTTCCGTACTATTTGTACCTATATTAAATTGTTCACAATACTATTTACATTTTAATCTTGTTTAACATAATAGAATACTGTTTAATCAAAACCACAATTGTGAGAATATTCTGTATTAATATTAAGAATTAATTTTTTTTTTTTTTATTAGCTATTAGTATTTAACTATGATATCTCAACATTTACAAATTAGACATAATACTACATAATGCATTATAATTTAATATTATATAACAAAGCCAGCATCCAATATAAAGCAAATTACTGATTTAATGGCGGTAGTGGATTTTGTGTTGAGTATGGAGTAGATATTAAGGGGAATATTAATTGTTAGGTTTTGTGCTAACCTTTGTGCTTCATAATGAATTTATGTACTTATGTTTATATTACTTATGTAATTATATTTATGTACTAACATTGAATTTATGCATTTATGCATGAATATATTTTTTTATATTGATACATTATAGGTAGATATTTATTATCTATTAGCTTATTTTGTATATTTATTGATAAGTAGAATTTTTGAGATAACGTTGTTACTTTACTCGAATTATAATTTGCTCTTTTGTTATCAGTCATCAAATGATAAGAACACACTAAAATACCATTTATAAATATATTGATCAGGATATATATCTTAAACAAGAATAACTAAAATTAACTGTGCATGAATTATATTATACAATAAATAGTATAAATATCTACCCACAATGTGTTTGCTAAAAATAAATGGTTTTACTGTATTAATATTTCATAATTTAATTGATTTTTCAGTTATACATACATGTATTATATTCTTAAACAATTTATAAAACATAGTATTATCATATATTATATAGATTCATGTTTTTAACGTGCTTAATATACCGATATCTGTCATTGAACTTTCTTTGGTGATGCCGCCAATTTATGATTTTTTAATTAGAGTTATAACTGTGCATTGCACTGAATTTATCCTCACGTCATTGAACTAAATTTTAATTACGTTGGCCCGATATATGTGGTGTATCAATCACAATTCAGCTGCACTCGTGTAGTGCCTCAGGTATGCCACATCGGTGCCTAAGGTCGGCAACTTCTTAACACTTTGTTTTGACTAATTCGCAATGTCACGACGTTTCTTTTTGTTCAATAATAATCAAGGTTATACAAAACATTCACACAGACAGAAAAATATAATTTTTTATCCAAAAACCATGATATTGGTAAACAAAACAAACTAAAGCTGATACAATTTTAATATTTTATTTTAATATACTTGTCTTGATATTGAACATAAAATAACCTAATTTCTAAGCTAATTTAATGTATTTATCTGAACGTAACATACATAAAAAAAGCAACGAGATACTCCTTAAAATAAATTTCCAAAATAAGAATGTCTATGCACTAGACATGACTCTTATAATTAAAATACCATAAAAAATAAAAAAATACTAATAAATATAGGTTTTATTTTTGAGAAAAAATTATTAATACGACAATAACGACACAAGAACAATTTATAAATTTATTTGTACTCAAACCATATGTATAAGTAGTATATTTTAAATTTTTATCAAAGTTAGAAATATATTTAAAACTACTTTTTACGTGGATGAATGTTAATTATACTAAAAATGTATCAACTTGAGCTTTTTAAAAATAGGAATTTCTAAATATTTTTTGAATAAAAACATTTCTCACTCCGTAATAATTCAACAATTTTTATAATAGGTATATTTTAACATATATAATTTTATTTCAATATTATTAAAACGTTAAATTGAGCATAATGAATGTAATTTTGTCAGTAAAAAATATCAAACACTATAATTCACAATATATTTCCGTTACTTCATTATACTAATATCTTAATACTTAAGATGATTACACTTTCAAATATCTTATAATGTCTACTTGTCTATTTTGTAGTTTATTTATAATAATAGTTCTATAAACATTTCACTTCGTTTTTGTGGTTTTATTATTACGGCACTTTTCTTTTAACAGACTATACACTTATTCCTAAGTAATACAATATGAAAATTATTTCTGTAGAATTGTGGTTTAAAATATGATTTTATACGTATAATCGTCGAGCAAAAATAAAATAATATCGTAATCAAAACTTATAACTGAAATAAAATGTATTTAGGTGTTACTGATTTTTATATTTTAAGTGTGAATATATTGTGAAAAATTTATTTTAAAAATCAATCTTTGATTATTTTATAATTATTGCATGTACTATAGTTTACAACTAAAGATGTATTTAAGATTTTTAATGATATTATACCTAAAAAGAATTTAAATTACACATAATATTCAATAAATAAAATATTTGTGAACTATTTACAAAAGGAATATTATTCAATTAACTAAATTAGAATATTATTATTTTAAAGTTTAAATACTCTTAAGTTCAATGCAATGTAATAATATTTTGTGGTAGATTAAATTAAAACTGTAAATATCATCGATTTCTTGAAAAATTATTTTACTCACGTAGCTAATCAAGCTTTCAGGACTAATGAATAAAGAATAAATTAATCCAATATTAAAAATAGTATACCGGTATTCACACTTACCATTTCATCTAAACTTTTTAAATCGTTAGTGACGATTTGAGGTAACGGGGCATATTCAGTTAGGTCTTCCCCATCACTGAAATCAGTGTCATCGCCGTCATTAAAATCAGTTCCTTGTGAAAATTGCCCATATTTTCTGTCGGCAGCAATTTCTCGATCGATTTGTCTTTCCATTTGTACTAACATTGGAGCTGGTACACCAATCCTAGCACCACGTCTAGCAACCTATAAAATCCAATTGAATTTGAAAAGAAATATTATTTTTATTTTTCACAATAAATACCTCTAACAAACATAATATCACATGTTTTTCATTCTTGCGCATAATAAGATCATCAGTCTCAAACAATAGACATTCGAAAACACCAAGCCCATTTCTACACCAATTAATAAAATTTGAAACATTGTCTCTAGCAAAAAATGTCCCTCCTTTAGCGCCGGGTAAATATCGTACAGGTGGTAACTGAAGAACTGTGCTTGCAATGCCGCTAATATTAGATTTACCGGCTGCTTGTCTTCGATTGACATGTTCCTCTGCATAGTTCCTTACACAATTTGAGTGCTGGAAAATTAAACTTAATATTATTCAATGGTTATTCCTTAGAGGCTTTTTTTTTTTAGATTTAAACGATAATTAAATATACTTTTTTAATTTTTATTTTTGTACAAATTTATTAAGTTTAAATAATTTTATTTATAAATTTAAATTTTGATGAAGTCAGACATTTAAAATAAATTCAATTTATTATATAAGTTTTTTAGTAAAGGATTGCATAAGTTCAAATTATTTTAATACATTTTGTGCTGTTTATAGGCACGTGAGATTTTTGATTATCCTAAAATTTAGATTTTTTTTTTATTCCAAAAGTTAGAACATTAAAAGTTGAACCAACCAAATTAAGAAATTTGGTATTTCTATTATATTAACCATCTTTAGAATTATAAACTATTCTATTTAACCTATTTAATTTAAAATCGTTTTTTCGAAAACAATGGTACATTGATTTCAAATTTTAAAGACCAATACAACAATACCATTTACTCATCCCTATATCTCACCTAACCTAGGAGTTCCGTCCTTTTTCTTTATTTGAAAATTTATGTTTGATATATCAATATCAGAATAAAAATAAAGAAATATATCAGTTTATCTTTAAAAATAAATAATTATAAGTTAGATACGTAAATCTATAATTATTTTCCATCAATCAGATAAACAACATATTATACACAAAGCAAATACCTACATGTTTTTTTGTAAAATAAAATATTAAAACTTTAGATGAACCTATCTATGTTCTAGTTTTTTGCATGTCAAGGTTGATTATTTAAGCAGTGATAATTTTTTTAAAATCGATCGTTAGTTAGCATTCACTCTATTGATATTACCATTAATGCAGTAAAATACAATAAATTGTGCAAAACGCCCAATTGACGTTAACTACACTTGACACCTAGTGTTAAATAACATGATTGTATTATTATACAGTAATAATTTGTATCTGTACTTCTTATCGTAACTATAAATACAATAAATAAACTCCATGATAAAATTTAATCAATAATATAATTCATTTTTAAATTGTTCTGGTGCAGAAACAGTTGTCAACTAAGTAAATCAAATATTTTAATTTTGAAATTCAATTATTAACAATTACTTACAATCAGTGTCACTCTAATAAATAAAAACATTTTAATGAAATTGCCTTTGTAAATTAAAATGTATTTAAACAAAAAAATCTTATATTCGTCAATATTTTTTTGAGGTTAATTGTAGAGTATAATAAACAATAATATTATTTTATATTTTAAATTATGGAAGTTTAATATTATTTATTTTATTTAACATTATGCAAAAATTATAATTCCTATACGTGAGATTTAAAAAGGTCAATCCATTATTGTAAATGCAAGGCTAAATTTAAAAAGGTTTCCATTCCCATTTGCACCCTAATCCATACATAAACGTTAAGTACTCGGGAACTTTTAACTATATTATATGAATTACCTATTAGTAAAAGAAAAAACATAGTTTAAGATTTTCATTGTAACTGAGAACTCTATCGTTATCATTATTCTATATTAAAAATCGAATCCTATATTCAAAAATTGAAAAGTCACTATAATATTAATCAATAAAATATTTTTTCTTTATATCTTAATTTTTTCAAAATGTTCAAAGAATAAACCATATATATATATATATATTTAAAAAAAAGATTGCTATACACAATTTTTTATGTAAAGAGAATATTTCAATTTTTCCAATCTTAATTAATACTAACAATAGCATATTTTTATCCGTTGTATTTAATAGTGTTGAACCAATTATAAGTAATATACTAGTTATTGTCATTCCGGCTGCATCCGAATTGTGTTCCGAATTTAAAATTACTATGTCTGTTAAAATGGGAAGGAAAATGTTAGTATAATGTAGTACTTACCAAAAAGTATTCAGGAAATAGTATAATACCTAAAATAATTCAGGACCCAACTAGTATAGTACCTATAAAAATTCGGGACCCAACTAGTACACTACCTGCGATTAGCCCTTAGTATTCGGGACCCAACTCGGATGCTTCGGTCATTCCAGATGAATTTCGCCAAAATAAAAAATATTTATTTACTAAAATACAAATGAATACTTTGATTGTAGTTTATTTTCTAATGGATTCAAATTATATTTTGCATTTTTCATATTTATGGTTTATAAATTAATATTAAAATATTAATGAATTTATCAACACCTCTGATATTTTCTAACGGACGAAAATTTTTATTTTCAAAAACTAAAGATCTTTACTACTATCTTATTTATCCTATAATTTATATTCAGTCATGAAAAATGTCCACGTGTATACAATATCAAAATGGTAATAAAAAAAAAACAATGTAGAGCAAATCGAATTGCAACAGTAATCAACCGTAGCCATTTACTCAGCAAAAATTTAATCTGAAACCAACTTGCGTTGAAAGTATCACCGTTTTCTATTTTTCTATAAATACATAGTTTTAGTTTCACCCAAAATACATAATGTTTCTTGTCTGTTCTGGTCAATCGAAAGAAATATAGGTAAGACACTTTCCAATTGACTGAAAATAACCAACGTAATTTATCCTCCCGCATACGTCGCGCAACGACCAAAACGAATCGAAATTATTTATTTCCTATATCTGATTGTTATTTTTATAGATACTTTTTAAATTATACTTATTTACTGTATTTGAAAACAATAAATAAGTATTAAAGTAAAAACAAACTAAGTAAATTAAAAAAGATATTTGTGTTATAATTAGTTTGTTAAATTTTAAATTATAATAAATTAAATAATGTTGAGTATTATATTTATATTTAAATATAAATATATTGTATATAAAACAGTTATTTTTTATGAAGCAATTTTTTAACAGTATCAACATTTTCTCGATTTTTCAAAATAATTATTTCAAATATTCTTCCAAGTGTTGCCACATATTTCAACAAAAGTCTATGTAAAAAAAAAATGTTAACTGATGAACTAAACTAGGTTATTTAACAAGTTCTATTTCATTCAATAATTATATTATAAATAAAAACAGATAATAATCGTATTTAAAAATGAATTTCATATTTAATTTAACGGTAGTATTTAAAATGTAATGGACAAACTCAATAAATATTTACAAAGACTATTTTAATTATGATTATTTAGCTAATATAAGAATTAAAATAGTTTTTTTAAATTATACTTTTATTAATAAATTAAAAATATTAAATCTCGTTTAATATTTTATAATAGTTTACTATTATTATACGAGTAAATGTATACAATTTTAAATTATTGATAAACATGATATTAATGTTTTCATTTTTAAATAAAAATTAAAAATAAAATGTAGAAAAACTTATTTTTTTTTCGCCCATATAATTACTTACTATTATATAGGTACTATTTTCATTCATTTTAATGTATTGAATTTGTTAAATAAGTACTTTCTAAGGCTTTTGACCTCAAGCATTATGGATTATTGAAAAAATTTCTTTTCGACCTTACTTCACTTGAATACAATTTGAAAATCATCATTAAATATATTTTAGATTGACCTACTGACTATTCATTTTGACCCGATTTGCTATGTCCGAAAACATTTCTAATACTCATGAAAAACCCAGCAGATGATTTTATCAATCATTTACTGTTACATAATGAACACTGTAACCGAACAAATATTTATTAATACAAACATATATTTGGATATTGGTAGAATTTAAATGGACAAAATTTAAGTGACGTCACAATAGTTATTGTTTTATTAATAAATAATAGAATGTATTGTTATCAAAATTATTTTATTGATAGATGGTTAGGTTTTGTTATAAATATACTTTAATTTATTTATCATTTTTATGATTTTTATTTATTTTTTTCTACATTTTGAAGTCATTGATTTAAAAATAAATGTATTGATAAATGATAAATTAGAATATGTTTAAAGTAATACTAAAGCCGACACTTGATTATTATAACACTTCCGGAGTTTGGTCATGCTCCGTAAGAAAAAATGATATAATGATCATGGGAACTAAAAAAATATTCTAAACGCAAATATTAATGTACACATGCTTCTAAAAAATTATAAATTAATTTTTAAAAAAATATATTTTTATTTTTAAAATAAAAATAATACTTACAAAATAAGAAATGTAATGGAACTGTATTTTATGTACTTAATTAAAATATAAATTATAATTAAGTACACAGAACCTAAAGTAATTTTGTATAATTATTACTCACAATATAAATAATAATAATCAATCTTTTTAATAGAACTACAGGTCATTTAGTTTTTAAAAACTAAAAATTAAAAAAAAAGAGAAAAATTTTAGTTTTGACAGCAAAATTATAATAATCAATAAAATAAAATGAAAATTAGTAAATGGTTGATACTGTAAATTAATAAATATAATATAATGTTTTAAAAAGTATAAGTATTTCACAAACAAAAACAGAAGACTTGTCTTACTTAGTAAAAAATTACTTTATAAATTATGCAAACCTAAATATTTGAGGCTCTTGCACACTATAGATCAGGGATGACAAACCTTTTGAACACTGCGTGCCCAAAATTACTTTTTTTTTTTCACAAAGCGTGCCATGAAAAAAATATTAAAAATATTATATTTTGTTATATTACGTATAATTTGATTGTATAATTAATGTTTTAGTATAAAAAGATTAGTTTAGATACATAATAATAATAATAATAATAATTATAATAATATTGCTTTGTTAATTATTTATATTATATTATAGGTCCTATAATATTATTTATTATATAATATATAATAGTAAAACTTTTCGCGTGTCATGGATTTGCCATCTCTACTATAGACGAATGCCCATAAATTGTTATATTATATATTTCCAATCGAAATATTTTGAAAAAACATTACAATAACAATAATAAAGTAATCAAATATACCATCAGCCGATAACATTTATTGCGGGTACCCAATAATGAAATATGGATTATAATATAAAGACATAGAATGCTGATAAATTTGACTTGTGGAATATTAATGAAAATTCGTTCATACGTAATACGGTCATATAAATTGAATGAATTAATGGACATTAGACCAACTACTTCAGAGATATAACCAAATTTAGTACACATTATTAATATATATTGTAATAAGTATATATAATAATATATCAATAAGTCATGATTTGATAATAGATAATAATAAAAATAGTTCAAAAAGTATAGTATCTATGTTTCAAGAAAATATTTTATCCTAACAAACAAAATCAGATCTAAACATTTTAAAAGCTATAATAAATAATAAGTATATAAGTATATAAGTATATAAGTTATAATAAGTATTATAATAAGAGCAAATTACCCATTTCTTTTTTTTTTTTTTATGGAAAAAGTCGTTTAATGGGGAAAACATTTGATAAATTTAAATCATACTTTAACGATTTAAAATATTACATCGATAATTTTAAAATTTGTTTTTTTGTCATTGGAATAGCGACCATTATGGAGATTTAAATATATAAAGAGACCATCAATAAATGGATGAAGCACGTTGTACGTGATTTCCTACAGGAAAGAGAAAATCGTGCAACAATCATATACGATACGATACAATACTGTACAGAGGTATGCGAAATAGAAACTATAGTAAATATTATCGATACAATTTACAGAAAAAAGACCAAGCAAATATAAGCTTCTAACTATATAATTGCACAACGTTATTAGTTTAAATAAATATTCCATATGTGTACTCGAATAAGCGAATAGCTATGTAAATAAAATAAAATACACAGTAATACATTATTTTTTTAATAGATTTACTTATTATACTATTAGTTGATATAATGAGTAAATTCCAGTCAATAAGTAACTGTTTCCTACGGTCCCCTGTCTGCGACCACTGAAAAATAATTACTACGAGACTAATAATGATAAAAGCTGATACATAGCAATTGTTATGACACATAATATAATTATAATTAAATCAATTATTCAACAAATGATAACCTAAATAGTTAATTGTTATTAATATATTTTTCTAAAGTCCTTATAAAACCACAAAACAATAAGTATAATATTTATTTATATTTAATAATTTTATTTTAATATATTTATTGTCAAAAAAAGTCCAACTAATAAGAAATAGAGTGTCACATAAAATTGATCAAGTCATAATTTATTTTGTTATTTCAAGTATGATGATCATTAAATAAATTTAAAAAATAAAATTATTTTTTGGTGTTATATGGTGTCTTAACTCTTAAACTTAGTTTTAATTGAGAGAAACATACAGTTATGGAAATATCTTTAATTTATTTCAACTAATTTAATTTTAAGTTAAAGCATATTAATTATATAAATAATTTAATTTGATGATTGCCATATTAATTATGTTTGATGATATACTTACAATTATTAAAACAAATAGGTACGTTATTAAAATTGATAATATATCAAAAATAACCTAAATAATAATTGTTTTTCAACAAAACAAATAATTTATGTTATTTATTTCAAACGTTTTCTCAAATATATTTATAAAATGAACATTGAATACACGAATGTTTGCTTATTGCCTTACACGCGTATTATAAATTGTAACTCTACTTTTTTTTTATACTAAAAAAAATAATAATAATATTGAACATAACAAAGGGAAATTACTTTAAAAGAATACCTCCAAAAAATATTGAGAATATTACCGACAATGGAAATATATTAAGCATGATTCAGTTTATACTCAATTATTATATATACAATAAAAACTATTTTGAACAATCCATAGAAAATAATTTTTAATATAAATAATATATGCATGTATAAAATAATATAAAATAAAATAATAAACATTCGACAATTAAAATCAGACAGTAATTACAAAATAAATAATATGGTGTAATAATATTAACATTTTGTCAAATGAATGTCATATTAACATTTTAAAACAAAATTCAATGTAATTTATATATTGTAATAGGAAGTTCTGGCACATTTTACATTACATAGGTTATTAAATTTTTCAGAAAATTGTTTTATCAGTATTCAATATCTTATCTACTATAATTGTATATAAATGTATAGCATAACAAGATAAATTTAAGTAATTTAATAGTTAATAGTTATTCGAATATAAGTATTAGTAATTTTAAATATATCATTTATATATTATAAATAATATTTATTAATTATATTATATTTAAAATATTTTTAAATATAATATAATATAATATAAGTAAATAAAAATACAACATAAAAAGAAAATATTAAATAGAATGACATATTTCATTAATAAATAAAAAAATATAATTGTCAGTGTTCCATAAAGTAATATATTTTTAAATTAAATCTATCGTCTTAAATTGGTTTTACGATGCAATGTAATCAAACATGTAAATTAAGAGTCGATTATATATTTAAAACTATAAAATATAATAAAATAATGCATTCAAATATTTTTATTTCACTTGAATATTGAACCAAATTAATAGCGATGTATAAATATATTACAAAGTGTAATTGTCGCACCATGTATATATTTACAGTTAAATTTAGTAATTCGTTCTTAATCTAGCAATAAACTTAAATAAAAGAATGCTGAGAAGTTTAAAAATACTTTTGGAAAACGAATGACCTTTTTAAATGGAATCTTCTAAAGAAATTAAATCTTAAATTCTATCTTTGTAAAGTCTATGCCAAGTCCATACTAATAAAACATTGAAATTTGTCAATCACCTACTTACGTTCTTATGGACATTTGAAAATATAATTTTAACACTACAATATTTATTAAAATTCATAAATTATTGGTTTCAAATAAAGTTTAGTAATATTCTTATCACAAAAATGTTTACATCAAATATTTTTTTGTGTTATAAATCATAATGTTTAATAATAATGACAAAATATTCATTTACCTTGCACAGTGCAACACCGGTATCAAGTCTATCCATGAAATTGTTTACATTTATGTAGAGCTCAGGATATAAACCATTCAGCCATTCAGCCAAATCCTCTTTCATAGCGTAAAGATATTCTTCACTGGACTTGAATGGCCGAAACGACCGTGATTCTACTAATAATGCCATCTGAAATAAAATACTGTACATTATTAATCAAGAAGTTTTAAATGTTTGAAATTCAAAAATATAATTGATTAAAAGGCATAAGTTAAAAGTATACTATTTAAACTATAAGCCTAAAAATTAATAAACTCATAAATGAGACTGAATTGATTGAATTTTATTAGGTAACGTAGGGTTATAGAAATTATAATAACTATAAAAATATACAAAAAAAACTTATACTCGTACATTTTACAATATTTGAAAACATTCATTATGGTTGAAAATAATTTCTTTTATATTCTATTATTAATAAGAAAATAAATAATTCGTATCACAATATTTAACTTTTTTTGTAAAATAAAAAATATAATAGTACAAAAATAATAGCAATAAATAAAAACTTATTTAACACAATTATTCTTTAAGAAAACATACAAGTTGAAGATTGAACACAAAGTTCCTGTATTTGTTATATATTACTTTTGTTTAATAAATAATTAGAAAAATAAAATAAGTAGCAATTCAAAATTAAAATTAATCATATTAAATTACTTAAAAAACGGTCGAGGTATTGATCAATTTTCGTACATATTTGAATATAATAAAATTTAAATGTTGAAACGTTAATTGAATTATTAATGTTCAACAATTATTTTTTAATTCTCAATAACTACCGATTCATTTCATACTTATTGTTATTAAAAATGTATATTAGATGTAAAACTTTTAATAATATTATAAGTTTATATTATTTGTAGAACTTGAGTACATTAATAATATAATATTTTTATAAAAAAATTAATTATAAACTAAAATTCGATCTTTTCCACTTAAAAAAAAGTAGACAAAAAAGTGATACCTACAGTTTTATCTATAAACATGTATGATTTATAACTAATTATTATGATATGACATAGCCATTTGTATATAGTTTTATTTATAACAATCGAAAAAATAAATAAAACAAGATGTTTTTAATAATAATAAAATTATAAACTGAATATTTAAAAACTTAACTCGAAAATTTCCTCATAAGATTATCAAAATAGAATTTATAAAAAAAAATTAAAAATTATTCATATAAAAAAGTAGAATAAAAACCATTTGTAAAATATTGTATTAATTTTGTATTGAAAAAAGAAAAATCTCAAAAAAAATAACTATAATAAGTAATAAAAAAATACAAATATTTTATGTTTACCAACAACTTATAGTATGACACATAAAATATAAGTTTCTTCTACATACTTATTTTACACTACTCACAAAGTTATTCATTAAAATCAATGAAACCATGTGCTATAAATTTTGATTATCATGGATAATTCGCTATGCTGAGTTCATGTACCCGGATACCATTGTTGTGATTTTTGTAATTGATCACAGTTTTTTCGTTTTTTTTTTTTTTTTTTTGTAATTATTATAACTATATTAAACAGAAGTAACAAAAAAAAAAAAAAAATCATAGAACTTAAAATATAATTTTCAAACAAGGAAATTTTTATTGTAAATCATCATAATAAAGTACATTTTAAATACTTAAAATCTTCAAAAATATTTAATTTTATACAATTTTTTTTTTAAAAAAAAACGGTAAGAATTATTCACGCATTATCCTGAGTTGGTTAATTATATTTCTTAATAATATTTTTTAAGCAATGGTCAATCATATGAAAAACGATTTCAATCGAAAATTGGTATTAAGAAATTATATTGATAAGTCTAAATAATGAATATTAATAACAAAAACCAGTTTTGCCACTTAATATTATATAGTATATCTTAATTAAACATTAATATTTATTTAATACTTAAATTAATAATTTAAGATATAATAGCGCAATCTATTAGATTAAAATTATAAAAATTTAATTGTAATAAAATAAATATAAAATTAAAGACTTAGAATTTTTTTATTATTTCCTTTAAGATGATTTTATAAATTTATAAAATTAAACACTAACTCTTATTATTTTTGCTGTAATGTGCGAACAAAGGCAAATTAAAAAAAAAAACTCTTATTATTTAATAACAATGACTAACATAAATTTAAAATATATTATCATGCTTAAATTGATTTTCTATAATTAATATAATTTTTCACGTTTATTCAATATAAATTAAACAATTCAGTCGAATCTGAAATATGAATGAATTAGTAACAGAATTGTTGGTGGAGATGGTAAAAACAGGAACACGCACGTGCGCATTATAGTCGCCTACATTTTTTATAACGGACCAACTTCCAAATTAGGTGGTTTTTTTTTAATACACTGATGAGAATAATAGTATTATTTAATATATTAAGCAAATGAAATAAAAAAATATTTTTTACGTATCAGCAAAATGTTTTTCTAGTATTTTATCACTAACCTTTCGTATTTGCATATAAAATTGATTTTATTAAATTGTCATAAATTTAAATTTTTTAAACATACAGAATAAAATATATGTGCTTAATAAGTATTTTTTTATGAAAGCATCTATAAAAATTATGTGAACAAACTTAACGATATTAATTTATTTTTTAAGAATACATTTTTGTTTGTACTATATAATGTTTCATATAATGACATTCACATGTGGAGAAAAAGTTTATGTAGATATATATCTATACAAACTAACATCCGAGTTCTATTAATATGTTATATGTTAACTATGAGAGTTAAGTAATAGTTTAAAGAGTAATTATTTAAATATACGTTCAAATAAATGATAAAAATAGTTTAAATCCAAACGTTTGACAGCTCTTTCAACTTCATATTGATATTTAAGAAAGAATATCAAAATATAACTTTGAACTTTAATACGCACCTACTATTTAGATGCATATTATAAATTTAACTATAATATCTATCAAATCTAAAATTTGTAAGTCTCTTATAATCGATATATTAAATTTAATTAATTTTAACTTTAAATATTTGTATAATTCCATAACAATTAAAAAGAATGTAGTTATAAATTTATTATCTTCACATTTTACCATATTTTAAATGCGTAGAAACAATAAATTATAAATTATACTTCAGTTTAAAAATCGTATTGGATTATACAGTACTTCCTTCTGTGAATAAAACTGTACAAATTTATATTAACCGATATAATTTTAAATAATTAAATATAAACTACATACAATCAGTTTTTAGTTAAATACCAGTATTTTAATTTACATTAAATATAATCAATGTTTAATCATCAGTACAATGTTCATAAAACATGGAGTCATTAAACAATTTGTATGATAATTTTTCATTTATTCAGCTTATAATTTATGTAATCGATAACTACAGAACAATACAATTACTGTGGAAAATTAAATTTTTTTTTAATTACTAGTTTAATCGCCCTAATAACAGTTTTGATCCTAATCCTAAAAATCGATAATATCTAAATAAAACAAAAAATTAATCTCAACGTTATGAAAAATGTCAAAAATAATCGCTAAACAACGGCATATATAACTCCTATACATGTTTTCGCATGTTTTTCTCTTATTGCGTTGTCTTTAAATTAAACATCTTTAAATGTATGATACAATAAGTCTGCGCACGTGTTTAATTAATCACTCACAAGCCGGCGTTATTAGAGAGCAGCGCGTTTTATTGATGTTCTTGCGGTCTGTCGACCAAAAGCGACACACCTCGGGAAATTTTTGCGCATTGTATTTTGCGCAATCGATTGGGCTACAGCCGGCAAAGGGAGCGCGAGAGTGCTGCACATAACCTTTCGACAAATACCCTAACGCCACGGTAACACGAAACCAAAATATAAAATTGCTAGAAATCACGTACAAATGTTTGCGATTTCTACTTTAGCCTTTGACCGTCATGCACAAGCATCGTAACACGCACACAATGTTCTTTACAAAGTGTAACGTATATTGATCAACACGACTGTTGTGAATCACAATTGTGCTGACCCACGGTTGTCGGTGCCTGCCGCTATGCGATTAAACGAGGCGATGCAGACTAATTATTGGGGTGAGTAAGGAATAACCTTACGTGTTCGAGGGCCAACAATAATATTTTAAAAGACACCGACAAACCAGTCTACAGAACAGTACCTATTCCTTTCTCCCTATACGTCTTACACTTTAACGTGTAATGTAATATGTATATTTTGTAAACGATTTACATTGTATACGGTACTGTAATTTTTTATGATAAATTTCGACGCCCAGAGCTACATTATCCACTGCAATTAAATCAATATTGAACATAAAAACCCATTAAGTATACCGTGTATCCTCTAAGTATTTTATTTGTTCGATTATAAATTCACGTAAAAGGTTATAGCGAAGGCGAAACAAAATTGACACTGGTTTTAATCATATGGATGTATCAAAAAAAATATATTAGCGGGTGAAAATTTTTATACGAAACTGTCAAAAATTACCAAAATAGTATACGAACCTCGATATTTGTTGGACGATTGAAACGTTGCGGTCGGATGGTTGGTAAGCGTTCCGGGAAAATTCAAAAACTCAAACACGACGGTAACGGTAAAACATATCGATATTACGAGACGTTAAATAAGCCATTTTAATGGCTATAAAACGCATTAAAACGGTGTCGACCTGTAGTGTATTGTATACGGTGCAAAATGGAATGCAAAACACAACTATTATGTCGGGAAAGGAAACGGAAAAAATAAATAAATAAATAATATTCGAAGAGAACGGCGGACAGCGAACTACGCGATACACGGTCGGTGTCGCGATTGTGACTGCCGTGCGTCGGGTCTGAGTGCTCGGCACGTTGTATATCTTTGCACGCCTTCCGTCCAAAAACTCACGGTCGGACGGCGGCGGCGTCAACCCTACCTCAATCTCTGGGCCGTAAGACGCGCCCGTAGTCAGTAGGTACACACACAACATCCGTCGGCGCGCGTCGCATTATTATTATTATTACTATTACCACTATTAACACTACTACAACTATTACTACTACTACTAATACTATACAGTATACCGTACAGTCCAAGGCACGCCGTAATCGTTAATGCCGCTAATGGTAACGTACATGTGCGGACCCTGGGGCGCGACTGGAGCCCAAATATTGAGAGTACTAAAATTGCTAAACATAAAATTAAATGGTATTTAACTGTAATTACTATAGATTTCATAGATCTGAAAAAAAACATGAGTGCTACATTTGAACTCAGGGGTGCTAAAAACTCTATTACGCCTCCCCTAGTTACGCCTATTTGCGGACCCTGTGCAAACACGACAATAGAAATGAAAAATAGGTAATGTGGCTGACCGCGGACACAGGACAGCAATATGTAAATGCAAAGGATGGACGAGTCGATGAAAACTGTTGAGACACGAGTTGATTTGATAACTTATGTTAACTGGTTCAGTCAACACTAAAAAGTTGGTTTATAAATTAACAATAATATACTGATAATAATAAATACATGCTAATATTGGGAATATTACTTGCTTCAATAAAGTAAGTTACTCAGCAAGTTAAGTTATTTTTTAATGATAACTTAGATCGAATAAAAATATTAATATCAAATTGGGTAAACACTGCAGTAGTTATTACAAACGTAGAAGCTAATTCTTCTGCCTTCAATCATAGGTGAATATATTGTTAACGATTTTTAGTATCTGAAAATATTTTTGGAATTTATTTAATTGTGTAAAATATACTACGTTATGTAATCATTAGTTTTTGGAAAGACTCTACGCGATTATCAAGGCAGAATAAACCCCTCTTATTTGTGCATATATCTACTATTTTAAACAAGATCAAAAATTAACCATAACTTAACATTATTTACATCAAAATAATATGTAATTTCAATTAAATTAATAACTTTTTAAATTAGAAGGAAAAAATTATTACAATAAATGGTTATTTAACTACCTAGTTATTGCTCATTAGTTATTTTTAACTCCCAATATATTATGAACAACATAAATAAATGATACTATTAATGATACTATTAGTTAAACTATGAAACATTTACCTGAGTCTAAGAATTATAAACCAATCATGAATAATAACTTTCAAAATTTTTTTAGCATTTAATGTTACTAAGATGCAGTGGCGTAGCCAAGGAGGGGGGCTAAGGAGGCTATAGCCCCCCATGGGCCGTGTTTATATGTATAATGTATCTATGTACTAAACTAGTATACTACTATTTTTATTTAAGTATTTTAAACCTTTGATATTAACTAAATGTTGAAGATTAACGAATAACAGGTGTTTTTTTTTGGCGTAGATATTACAGATTACTAATACTTCTAGTTTCTACCATGATTATCACTATCTTTTTGATGGCTATCATACAAGGTTGTGGCGAGTCACTATCAAATATTTAATGATGTTGTCAACATGAGAAAAAGTGTTAATATTGAAATAAAAATGCCACAAGTATGTAAAAGGCAAACTTAGAGAGAAAACTTTATTTCTCAAAATCCAGAAATATACTTTAAATGTTCTACTTTTATTCCTTTTTTTGACTATTTAATAGAATCAATGGATGCTCGTTTTAATCAAAGGCTTATTGATGTTATGCCACTTGAAGGACTTATTCCGGCCAATTTAAATATGTATGACGATGAAAACATTATAAAAGCTGCTAAAATATATGCCCAAAGTCTCCATGATGATACCTCATCTACAATTAGAGCTGAACTATTCATACGGAGGCAACAATGGAGTACTATTCCAAAACCGAATCTACTGTTGATTCACTCTCTCATTGTACCAATCTTCAACCTAACATTAAAATACTTTTAAAATTATTCGCCACGTTACCAGTTATCTCTTCCACTCCGGAAAGAACGTTTTCTGCACTTAATTGCTTAAAAAATTATTTAAGAAGCACCATGTCGGAAAACAGACTGAATGCGTTAGCTATGGCTAATATAAATAAAAAAGAGCAATTCGATGAAAGTAAAATAATAATTGAATTTGCCAGAAATTCGCCTAAGAGGATGGCTGAGACACGATTGAGCATAAAACACCTTTTTTGCGACACGATTGAGCATAAATTGTCGGCGTATCAAAAGAAATTGAAATACAAAAGAAAACCAACACGATTAAGCATAAAAAACTCTGCAACGTTGATCCATTTTCAATTTTTAACTGGGTACAAAAATATTTATTTAAATAATTATAATAATTCAAAATATAACATGGCAAAAAAATAACATGTTTTCGTAGTCAATATGCAATATACCTAGTCACATTGTATAGTATATAGATGTGTTCGAACGAAATGAAACGCACTATACACGACTATAGGTGATAATCATTTTGGAATTGTATCTTAACTGTCTTATATTTCCCCTCGTTGCAGGGCCGTCCCGAAGGGGGGTCTTGGGGGGAATGTCTCACCCCCCCCCTCAACGAAAACACCAGTCGGTAGTTGGACTTGTTTCATTATAACCTAGAAGGACCTAATTTTACTTACAGAAAACAAATATTACATATTTCGTAATACAGTGTTTACACGAATAAAATTTACCGAACTAATATACAATATAAAATATTATTATATATGTATAATTAAATTGTCAATTTTAAGAACGTGTGACACTGACACATATATACATGTTAAAAAGTAAAAATACCACTACATATAGTTAATTATACTACATACATTGAATAAAAAAATTGTAGTCGGCATTATTCATATTATTCACCCCCCCCCCTTGATTTTTTTCTTCGGAACGGCCCTGCCCCGATGCTAAATGTTTAAAAAGTCATTTTTTTCCGGAACTAATTTATTAATCGATAACATTGTCGATAAAGTTGAGGGACTCGGCTCACGGCTCGCGTCAGATATAATAATAATCGGTGTAATAATAAGTGAAAATAATAAATTACAAAATGTTGGCAACGTGAATATGGCAACATCGTATAAAATATTCTATGCTCAATCGTTTTATGCTCAATCGTGCTTTCCCGAAGAGGATGCAGCTGTCAGAGTGGAGCAAGTGACTAAACACTGAAACAAAAATTATTATTATTATTATTATTATTATTATAAATTATATATTAATAAATATTTTTAAAATTATATTAAAATGCTTGAATTACATTTAAAAACTTGGTGGTAGATGGTGGGGGGTGTTAAGGGTGAATTCTCATATCCTCTCTTACCTTACTTATCCAAAAAAGTGATTAACCCCTCCCATTTAAAAATCCTGGCTACGCCAGGATCTATCAAGTATTATTTAATTCTAACTTGTTATATGCTCTATTAATTGATAGAAATCTTTAAAAGTATTACGGATAATTATTTTACTATTAGAGTAGTAATATCGCCAATATTATAATCTGAAGTAGATAATATTAATGTATGGTTACAACAACAAAGTTTAAATTGTTTAGCAAAAATATAATTTTTTATAAACATGCATTAAATTAACTCGATGACATGGTGATTGTCCTTAAGTATATGCATTATGAACATATTATATGTATAATATAATTCATAAACTATCATATTCACTTGATGAAATATGTAGCATTTTCGAAATATAAATTTTTGGGAAAATTAATTTTTTGATTTCTTTGTTTTTAACTATTTTTTTTTTTCTTAGTTCTTATTTAATTATTCTTATTTTTTTTAATTTCTAAGAAAATACTACATTTTTTTCTTATATGGTCGCATAGAGGAAAAACGTAGAATTATATACAACTACATAGAAGGCACTATATACTGACTAGTTGACTACAAAATAATTAGGTATATTTCTAAGTACTAATTTTCATATTTTAAATCAATGTCACTCATTAATAACGTGTATGATAATAAATACTAAATATAAGCAAATTACATACAAGTTATAAACTAAATTTAATTTGCCTACTATATTTTTATATAGGAATTTAAGATTTAAGAATATATCAAAATGTAAACGTATTAGGTTATAATATTATGGCAAATAAAAAATTTAACACCATTTAATTTATAAAATAAAAAATCAAATATGTATTATAAATTATATTTATGTTCTCAAAAACAACAAACTAATCATTTTTATATATTTTTCTTCATTTTATCTATAATCACAATGTTTTTTTTTTCAAACCACACGTTTGACTCAAATACTAATTGGCTTAAGCATTATAAGAATTTATATTTAAATCAAATTAATTAGGATTCATTTTTTTGTATAATAAGATGTCAAAAAGAATTTTATTAACTTTTAACCCTTCGTTAGTCACCTTGTTGACCTAAACAATTTTAATCACCCGGGGTAATATTATACCCCATGTATTAAACTTATTTCTGTAATTAATAAATTCATAGATTTTATTATTTTTTATTAAGTATGTATCTTACATATAGATATAATTAATATTTAAATAATTAAATGCGATTTTTTTTAAATATTTCAAAGATAATATGAACATTTATTCTATATAATTATAAAATTAAATATTGCTAATTACTTTTCTAGTTTTTTATTTTATTTTTTATGTGACATTAATATAGTGATCTATTATTTAAATTATTATTTTGGATAACATATACAACATATTTTTATTATTATTTATTAATTTATGTTAAATAGGAACCCTAATATCATAATTGAAAATAGGTCAAATATAATGTAATTATCTTTTCAGTATACTTTTAAAATAAAATTAAAATAAAAATATTTATTCTCAAAAGAAACTCTTTTTAAAAAATATAACAATTTTTAAAAATACATAATTTGTAATAAAAATAATAAAAAACTTTTTTTAAAAAACTTAATAATTCTGTAAAAATTGGAATTTTTTTATAAATTAATTTTCAAATG